GGGGAGGACCTTGGGCGAGAAAGAGCGGCGGGGGGGGGCGAGGGGCAGTGCGGTAGGGAAAGAGACGGTAAAAGGGGACGGACTCGTCAAAGGTGACGTCCTGAGACGGAAAGACACGGCGCGAGGCGGGGTCGTAAAACTGCCAGCCAGGCGCGTCAGGGACAAAGCCAAGGAACACGCAGGGAATGGCGCGAGCGGAGAGCTTGTCCGCGGTGGTATCGCGGACAAAGGCACGAGCACCCCAGACCCGGAAACGCGACGCATCGCCAACCTTCCCCGTCCACAGCAGTGTGGGCGAGGTCTCCGGCAAGGAGACACGGGGCCAGAGGTTGAGCTGATGCGCGGCGTACCGGACCGCAAATGGCCGCAGAAAATGGGGGGCAGCCGCATGGATCATGGAGGTACGAGCGACCTCCATGACTAAGCCAATGCGGCGCTCAGCAACCCCATTCTGCTGCGGAGAGGCCGGAAGCGTGAACGTCTGGCGGATGCCGTGCTCCGCACAGAAGGCTGCCAAGAGGTCTGAGCAGAACTCACCACCTCTGTCAGAGTGCAGACGCAGGACAGGAAAGTCCGACTGGAACCGCTCGCGGAGCTGGAGACGAACAGCGCGGATCCAGGGGATCAAAACATCAGGGACCTCCCCCTTGCTGCGCAAGGGGAAGACCGTGGTGTAACGCGTGTAGTCGTCGACGAACAGCAGGAAGTACCGCTCGTGGCCCTGTCCACGGACGCGGGCTGGGCCCCACACGTCCAGGTGGAGAGTCTGCAGTGGAGCCTCTGTGGGAGGGAACGAGGAGGAGTGAGGAGCGGCGCGCTGCCGCCCCTCGACGCAAGGAATGCAGGGCGGCGCAGGCGAGGGAGGGAGGGCAGGCAGAGACTCGGGAAGGCCAGAGACCAGGTAGCGAGAGTGCATGCTACGAAGGCGAGGCAGGGAGGGGTGACCAAGGCGGTGGTGCCACAGGAGAGTGTCGTGCGACAGTCGGCGACACTCACACTGGGTAGCTACCTCAGCAGACGCGTACAGCTGGGGAGACAAAGGGGTGTAGCGCGACGCAGTGGTGAGGGTGTACAGACTGGACCCAGGCGCACGTGTGAACGTGGCCAGGTGACGGCCGGTCCGGGAGCACGTGCAGATCGCCACACGCTGGCCTCCAGGAGTAAAGGTGTCAACCCAGTGATCCTGAAGGACGGCGTTGCTCACCAAGTTCGTAGAGAACGAGGGGAGGTGGAGACCAGACAGCTCACCAGACGGGACCGCCGGACACGGAAGCACAGTGGAAGACCGTGCAAGCACTGGGCCCCCAGAGGGGTCAGCCAGTGAGACAGGAACAGGTGCAGGGAGGGGAGTGACTGTGGTACTGTCGCGAAAGAAACAGCGGGAAGCACCAGAGTCAAGTGTAAAGGTGTGGAAGGCCTGTGCAGGCGCAGTACCAAGGGGAGCAGACTCACAAGCACCTAGTGCTGTAGGGGCTATACCAGGGGCTATACCAGGATCCGGCGGCACACACAAGTAGCAGTCACCCTCAGCACTAACAGTCAATGCATACATAGCAGCAAGAATTGGCTCATAGTCAAGATCAAAGATAGGTACATCACGCCTAAGCAGGTCTGCCCAGTTGGGGAACTCAGTAGCATCAGGAAACTTGGCGCGCCAGGCGTCGCTAAGCCGAGCGAAGCAGCGCTGCTCAGTGTGAAACCCTGTGCACTGGCGACCAGCGCGGGGACCTGTGCGAATGATATAGGGGCAGCGACCAGGACCCCCAGAAGCCCCACACCCGGCATACCAATCGGAAGCCCCACGCCCGGCATACCAGTCAAGAAGTTGCTGGGAAGTGGGGGTCTGGCGCTGACGCTGCTGCTGCTGCTGCTGCTGCGACTGCTGCTGGCCCTGACCACCACTGCCACCACCGCTCCCTGCTCCCCCACCGCCGCTGCTGCCACTTCCACCGCTCCCAGTGCCTCCGCCGCCCCCACCACCACCTCCACCGCCTCCACCCCCACGGCCACCCCCACCACCTCCACCTCCCCCGCCGCCTGCACCACCGCCACCTCCACCGCCACCCCCACCTCCCCTGCCACCCTTGCCGCCCCTGCCGCTGCGACGCTTCCCACTAGGAGCGGAAGCAGCCCCGACCTCCTCAGCACCAAGGTAGTCGTGAGCAGCTGCTGCGGAGGCGTAGGAGGGGGTGAGAGGGGAGGGGGAGCACCCCTCAAAGAGGGGAGAGCGAGGAGTGCCACGAGCAGCACCTACAGCGAGGATGTTCTTCTCTGCTGCGAGGAGGTGCTTCTCGAAGTCGTCGACAGTGAGAGTGGTGGGGTCTAGCGCTAGGAAGTGGTCCCTGACAGAGCTAAGAGTGTCAGGGAGGCGGGTGACGAGGAAATAGAGAGTGAAGTACATCGGGGGGGGGGGGGGGGGTTTGCGGCGCAGAACTCGGCTGAAAGGGCGGCACGAAAGCGAGTGTCAGTAGCGCGCAGGTGGGAAATGAGGTCCTCAGCAGTGGTGAACGAGGAAAGGTCGGGGAACAGGTAGGGTAGCATGAGCCGACCTATGGCTGCAGTGGCCAGGGAGGAGTAGCGCGCAACTACAGCGTCGTACAGTGTCTTAGCAGTTTTGTGCTGGCTGAAATGCGCGCGCTCAGTAATCGGCAGATGGTTCCTAATAGCTAGGCGTGCAGCAGCATCGCGAGTCTGCCACTGTGAGCGTTCGAGAGCAGGAGCATCGGCAGCAGGAGCAACGGCAGTGCCAGATACGTAATCGAACAGTGAAACGCCCTCTTTGGCATCGGTCAGAAGGAACAGTTGCAGGTCGTCGAGCCACACAGCGAACTCTGTGGGGCGACCGTCAGGCTCGAACGCGAGAACATTAGGCGTCGTCATAACGGCAGCAGGCAAAGGCAGTAGGCAGCAGGCAGCAGACAGGAGGCAGTAGGCAGCAGGCAGCAGGCAAAGACAGAGACAGCAGGCGGCAGACAGGAGGCAGCAGGCAGTAGACCGCAGGCCAAGACAGAGGCAGCAGGCAACAGGCAACACAGGCAACTAACAGGGCAGTAGCTTGCCGCACTCGAGCTCCTAAGGCGGCGCGCTAGGCAGCAGCAGGCCGCGCGCTTTCTAAGGCAGCGGGCCGCGCAGGCAGGCACACGGGCAGGGCATGCGCGGCTGCTGGCTGCGTGCGGCTGAGGGCTGCGCGCGGCTGCTGGCTGCGCGTGGCGACGAGCTGCGCACGGCTCCTGGCTGCGCGTGGCGACGGGCTGCGCGCGCGGCTGCGGGCTGCGTGCGGCGGCAGGCTGCGCGGGCGTGGCCTAAGCAGGCTGCGCGCGGGCGGCGTAAGTGGCGCACGGGCGGGGCCTAAACGAGCTGCGCGGGTGGGGCCTAAACGGGCCGCGCGGGCTGCTTAAGAGGCGCGCGCGGGGAAAAAAAAAAAAAAGGACGCGCGCGTGCAGCCGAGGCGCGCGCGGGCAGTAGGCAAGGCAGGTAGGCACGTGAGGTAATATGGTAACTGGTGGGCCCTAATCCTAGGTCCTAAAGACCTATGCTCTAGATGCCATGTTAGAATCTTAGGCAAGGTGTGATTCAACTATCGAGAAGTTTGGTACAAAAGTGAAACCTAAGGGGTTGTACCCCACAGTGAGTACCCCACTAAGCCTACCCAAACTATAACATCTAAATATATGTTTGACATTGTAGAGTGGTGCTTTTTATGTAGTTAGCCTATCTGTATGTGTAGCTGTAGTAGCTGTAGTTGAGGGCATGGCCCAAAGTAATGAATGATTCTTATTGAATAGAAGACACAGTATGGCCATAGTAGTGCACGCTACAATTGAAACAGGGTATTTTGTCAAATTTCTGGAAAACACCCTTACACAATCAGTGTGCGGAAATTTTTACCCTTGTGTGGACAGGGTGGAGGAAAAATCATCCTGGCAGTTAGAGTGTTGTCACCTAGGCACCCTGATACGTAAGGGTGCACTGAAACCAAAAATAGCCCCTGGTGGGGTGCAGGTTCGGGGTTGGAAAACCCGAAGGCGACGCAATGGTGGTTCGGAGGGCGAGATCATCGGGCCGAGCCTGAACTCTGAAAGCTGGAGTCTGTACGCGTACAGTGCGACTCAGTAAGGAATTAGGGGAAATTCCTTACATAACGCCTATAGTGGAAAACACTAGCCTGACACTTGGGGTTCTAATCGGCAAACCTGGAGGCTCTAACGAGTATAGCCAGGCTTACCACTGAAACATCGATCATCTGCTCGTTTCCTTTCGCGAGGTCTGCTGCTGATCCTTACGCTCCATTACCTCTTTCTCGCGCCACTACCACCTCCTTTCGCGTTCACACTTAGGTGCCAGATTGCACATGGACGGGCTGATCTAAGTTTCACAAAATACCACAGGAGATACTTTGAGCCGTTCTTCCAGCCGCTGTCTTTAGCTCCCATCTAACAGCGTGGTCTCTACAACCCACAGATCAGCATGAGTAGATCAGGCCAGGCTCCCGATTTGAAAAAGTAAGCTGCACTTGCGGTTTCTTTCATTTACCTTTTCTCTTGACGCCGAGTCGCTTCCATTTCTAAATCCCCCACACACAGCACCCTGATCGCACTCGTCTTTTGTTACCACTGGCTTTTCGTAAAAAAAAATCGGTCATCTGACCGCCTTTTCTAGGGTGCAGCGAATGCCAGAATCCTGAAGTACGAATAAAAAGTACTCCCGTTTTTTGTATTTGTAACCCTAATTCCCCACAATTTCCACCCGAAACTTGCGTTGCCTACCATCCTCATGTAGTCGTAGTTAGCACAATTGGCAATCGCGGACTTTTAAGGACTTGTTCACATTCGCGTTTTCCCCACCTCTCCCCGTTCTTTCAACATGTCACTACCTTCCCTCTCCCACGCCTCCTCCTCCCCTCCCTGTCGTCCCCCAACCTCCCTTTCCCTTCTCTCGCCTCCCCTCCCCCACCCTCCCTGCTTGTCCCTCCCCACTACTACCCGGCTCGACGCAGGTACATGGACAAGAAGTTAAACAGTGAGTGCCGTTCCACTCTCGCTGCGCTCTTGCTTCACAGATTGATTTTCCATTTTCTAGAGCAGAGGAGCACTGCGTTTCTGCTTCAATGCAATGCACTTCTCATTGGCTCTCCACGCGTTTGCACAGTGACACTCCTAGCTTAATCACATACTCATGAAGCTGCTCCCGCACTCACACACTGGGTTTCCACCCGCACTCCCACGCACTCATCTCCCCAGTCGTGCGGTCATTCTCATGTGGTCATTCTTGTGCGGTCACTCTTTCAACACCGTTCCTATGCTTCTCCTGGCGCTTCCTCCTACTTCGTACCCCCTTTTCATCTACAATTGCAGCATCCCATTATTGCTGTTCAGGGGTACTGCACACTCTCCCCCAAAACCACCACCCGTTCTCCTGCTTTCCTCCAACCCCTCCACTCTCCTCACTTTCCCTCCTCTCCTCCCTCTTCCTTTCCCCTCTCCCCCTTCCCCCCTTTCCCTGCGTGCAGTAAAGCTGAACGCGAATCGCACGGTGGTGGGGGTGCTGCGGGGCTTCGACCAGTTTATGAACCTCGTGCTCGACAACACTGTTGAGATGAGCGGTGACGACAGGACCGACATTGGCATGGTGGTCAGTGCCCTTCTCTGCTTGTGTCCTCTTGTCTTGTCTTGTGCCTGCTGCTCTAAGTTGACCCAAAACACACCTCGTACTTGACAACACTGTGGAGATGAGCGGACCGACATCGGCATGGTGGTCAGTGCCCTTGCCTCTTTGTCCTCCCTGCCTTTTGAGTTTCCTCAAAAGTCACCTTGCCTTCGACCAGTTGATGAACATCATGCTCGACAGCACTGTGGAGATGAGCGGTGACGACCAGACCGACATTGGCATGGTGGTCAGTGCCCTTTCCTTGTGCCTATCCCTGTCTCTCTCTTCCGCTCTCCCTCGCTGCCTGCCTCCCGCGCTGCGCTCCCGACAGGACCCTCATCGGCATGGTGGTCAGTGCCCTTGGCTTTCACCCCCATGCCTCCCTGCTGTGTCTCCCTCCTCATTCTTGTCTCGTCTTGTCTTGCTGTGTCTTGTCTTGTTTATCCTCATTTCTAGTTCCTTTCCTTTCTCACTTCACTCATCCCTCCCTCCTTTCCTTCATTTCACCCTGTTCACCTCCCTCCCTCCCTCTCCCCCTCCTCCCTCCCTCCTTCGTTCTCTCCCTCCCCTGCCACCATCTACCTCCCTCTCACGCCTCTGACCCTCTTTTCCCTCTTTTCTCCCCTCTCCCCCCCTATCCCTGAACCCCCCTCATTCTACGTTTCCTCACCAACTCCCATCCCATGCTCTTTTTTTTTTGCTGAAACCTCCTTTTCTCTCCTCTTCTTTCCCTTCCCTCCTCCCCTCTCCCACCTATCGTTTCTCCCCCTTCACGCCTTGTTTCTTCACCAACTACCATCTCATGCTCCTTCTTTTGTTCCAAAGCCTTTCCATCTCAGTGCCCCTCCCCTCTTTCCTCTCTCCCCCCCCTATGCTCTCCATACTCCTCTCTCCCCCATCAACTGCTGCTGTGCCTTCCTTGCGCTCCATTGACTCTGCTCGTATTCGAAAATTCCTTGTCCGCTCTCTGCTTGGTCTCTTGGCTCTGTGCTGTGCTTTCTGACTTGTTCTTGTGTAGCTTCCCCTAGAGCCAGAAAGATCTGTTCTGAGTTGGTGTTCCTTGCTCGGGCTGCCTTACCCCCCTGAACTCACAATCCGTTTCTCTGCTTTCTTTCTGCAGGTTATTCGTGGAAATAGTGTTATCATGATTGAAGCTTTAGAGAGTGTAAGGTAGTGATAGTTTTGGTGTGGCCATTTTTAGCCACACCACACCTTTCAATGTATTGTACTGTAAGTTTTGTCTTGCTGCAATACTGACTTACTACCACTAATGCCTATCCTTGTTGCCAGGATGCTGTAAGCTTGCATCCTGTTGCTGATACCGTATTGATCACCTTCACTATGTGGGAGAGTCGTGTGATCTAGTGATGAATATTGAAAACATACTAGGATTCCGCTATTTCATCTCGTACACCCAACCAAGCATTCTGAAGACCAGAATTCCGGTATGTCTGACTTCATCCACTGAAGAGGTCCCCTGCCATCTCATCCACTCATTGTAAAGCTACTACAGGCTCACAGAAAGAGGTCTGCTAGCTAGGAGCACCATAAGAACAACCAACAGTTCCTTACATGTCACAGTTGTTTTTCTGCTTTGGTTAGGGGTTAAAATAACAATATACATTTCTTTTACTTACCAGCCACTCCTAACCGATAATAATTTCACAAGCAGCCCCTTCGCATCGCGTCGCGTCCAGTCTGAGAGGAAGCATCTCCCGCCAAACAGTACCGTTTGAGCTCTACATTTGTTTTTCAGCTGCTAGTTTCCCGTGCTCTCACAATTTCCATAGTTCTACCTATGCGGCAGGATTTCGCGGCATCTCTAGACCTGTTTCGCTCTATGACCAGGGACTTCAAGAGTCAACCAGAAGAAACTCAACGCCAGCCAGCAAACCCTTTCGCATCTTGGCGGTGAAAGGGATTTTTTGCACAAAAAAACACACATTGCTCATCCACATTGCTTTTTCACATTCCGTCTCGGGCAATCCCCAAAAGGCAGGTCACAGTTTTGAGCGCAAGTCAGACTCAAACCACATGCACTTCCATTCTCCCTGCTTGTTGCCCAGCCCATGCCATATCCATTCCTAAGCAAATTACGTATACCTCCACACTGATGCGGAAATGTCGCCGTGATGGTGAGAACGAAGAATTGGTGAGAGGCGAGAGCGATTTTATAGGCAGTGAAACAAGCAATTCGACGTCACGCGACCGCCATGGCATCGTCGCTGGCAGCTGCTGGCGATCCGGCTGGCGAACTGAGAGGGACGAGCGAGCGACGAGAGAGGAAGAGGCGGAGGGAAGATAGCCGTCAGGACGACGCTGGCTCCGAAGGCAAGGACGCATATTCATAACACAGCTTATCGCGACGCAATCCCCTGAGTTTTACCTCCGTCGCTTCGCATTTTGGCTCGATAAACAAAGCAGCCAGAAATCACGTCTTCTTAGGGAATTCTCCACCGTTCCGCACACGCACAATTAGTCTAACTGGCTGTTTTCGTCCCTCCCCTCCACTTGTGCTATATTATTTCCTATCCACCTTCACTTCACATCTCAGGAGCGGATTCTCTAGTCGAGATAGAAGCTCTCTCCCACCCACCATTTCTAAAATCTGAAGCAGATTCCGCTCCGTCTCAATCTCAACGCACCTCGTATTATGTTACCTCCCGCTCCCCTCTCCCTCTCTTTCGCCTACCCTCTCCCTCTCCTTCTCTCCCTCCCTCCCGCTCGTCTTCAGACCAGGGCAGCGATGTGATCGACGCGCTTCCAGCGGCGCTCTGGCACCGCATCTTCCACCTGCTGCTGCACCGCCCCTGCAGCGCCACCCCTCCGCACTCCGCGGGAGGTCGCTACTACTGCCGCGCGCTAAGCGTCGCGCAGCGCGCAGAGGCGAATGCCTCCAAGGCGAATGCCACTGCCAGCGATGCTGATGCTGGTGATGGTGGCGCTGGTGATGGCGCTGGTGATGGTGGCGCCGGTGCTGGCGCTGGTGATGGTGGCGCTGGTGGTGGTGGTGGTGCTGGCATCAACGACCCACGGAGCGCTGGTGCTGGTGCTTGTGCCAGCAGCAACGGCAAGAGCAAGAGTAACGGCAAGGGCAACGACGAGGGCACGGGCAGTGCAGGGGAGAGCGACGAGGAGGAGGAGGAGAAGGCAAGGGAGAAAGTGGTGTTCATGAACGCCGGGGTGTCGCCGTGCTGGCTGCATGCACACAATGCTCGCACGTTTGGCTCCTCGTGGCCCCTGATGTGCTGCGCGCTCGCCAGCAAAAGGCTGCTCCTCCTCGTCGCCTCCTTCTCTGTGAGAACCATGCTCGCTCCCCACTTCCTCTCCCCGTCAGTGCCGCCCCTCCAGACCCTCTCCTCGGCACTGTTTCTCCTGTCCACACCCTCTCCTCCTCAATGTCGCGACTATCTCCGTGACTGAATTCCATATTGTCTTCTCGTTCACTTCATTGCATTCTCAGCCATAATTTCTTTCTTTTGTGTCTCTTCTGTCCCTAACTGTCATGTGTAGTAGCTTCGCAATCGCTTCCTCTCTCCCTCTCCCTCTCTCTCCTCTCCCCCTCTCACTCTCCCCCTCACTACAACTACTGCTGGACTCGCACTTCCACCTGCTGGCTCTCACTCCCTTCTACCCTCTTTTTCCTCTCCCTCCATCTTTCTCCTCACTTCCCCCTCCCTCCCTCCCTCCCTCCCTCTCTCCCTCCTTCCCTCCCTTCCTCTCTCCCTCCCGCCCTTTCTTTCCCTCCTCCCTCTATCTCTCTCTTTCTTCTCCCCCCCGCGCCCACCACCAGGAACAAGGCACGCCCATGTGTCTACACCTCACTCCCTCCAACCCCCAATGGAACAACAGCGTGCGATGGCTGCTCTCCCACACTCCTGCCCTTCCTTCCGTCCGCCTCTCCTTCTCCCACCCCTCCCTCGTCCCCCTCATCCGCCGCCCCTTCACTCTCCCCTCCTCCCCCGCCGCCTCCTCCATTTCATCCCTGCACCTAACTCTGAGCATCAGAGAATCCTTCCCAAAGGAGGATTACCGCCAGAGCCACTGGAATCTGGCATTTCTCACTCCCTGCACCTCCCTTTGGTCCCTCACACTCGGACGTGGTGCCTGGCGCTTAGGTAAAAGCTGCCTCACTGGCGCCTGGATGCAGTCTCTTCGGAGCCTAACCCTAGAGCACATGGACCCCCGGGGGATCTCTCTTAAAGCCCTGGCTGTCATTGCGCCTCAGCTGCACGAATTCACGTTCTGCGAGCCACGTAAAGTGGAGGAGGGGGCTCGGAGGGGAATATTCACAGGACCGGTGCTGCTGGCGCTCGAGTTCCTCAGGGCTCGCCGCCTCTCCTTCCGCTTCCTCAGCCACGAGCTCAAGCTGAAACTCGCCCTTTCTCATGACTCCCTCACCTCCTTCTCAGCCTCCGCTCTCTCCCTCACCCTCGCCTGCCGCTCTGCCCGTCCTCTCGCCTTGACCCAGCTTTTGCTGTTTGGGGAGGAGAGGATCCATATTGCCTCCTTTGAGGTTGCCTCGGTCCGTGCGCTTTACCTCAACGCCCCGATCAAGTTCCTGCCGCAGCAGCCTGCCCCCATCCCCGTCGCTGCTGTTCGCGAAGGCATGGAGGTGTGCGGGGATTCGTTTGTGTTTATCCCGCCGCCGTTGCCGTTCGCATGGGCGGACTGGCTGCGTGCACTCGCGCCAACAGTGGAGCTGCTTATAACAAGGCATGACATCCGCCTTGCAGACTGCAAGTTTCCCTGGCCGCGGTTGCGGAGCCTCGGGATTGTCGTGGAGAGCGATTACTTTGCATGGAACGAACCTCGCGGGGAGATGGCGGTGGAAGATGTGGCGAAAGCAGATGGGAACGAGTACGTACAGTTTTCGAGAGACCAGCGGAGTGATCGGAGGGAGGAGGGGAGGGAGAGGGAGCGCGAGATGTTGACTCGAGGGTTGACTCGCTTCCATGCAGGCCCGTTTGGGAACCAGCTTGTTGGTGTTGGGCCCGAGGATTACGATGGTGTTGATGATGGTGAAGATGTGACTGATATGGTGCATGCGACACCTGCACGCATGCCTGATCCCCCCTTTCTGTGCACCCCTCCAAGCATTAACGCTCCAAATCTGCGAGCCATCTTCTTCCCGACCCGCTGCGACACACCCATAGCCCTGCTGGAAGATCTCAAGGAAAGATATCCCTCCCTGGCACTGTACTGTGTTGCGAGGCGCACGTGGTACTGGGAGAGGAAAGAGATGGGGTTGATTGATGGGCCGGTGGCGCATGTGAGGGGGCCGAGAGGAGGGAAGGGTAGCGCTTCTTTTAGGAATGGGAGGAAGAGCGTTCGGGACAAGATGCACAGTGTGAATCGCGGGCTGATGGCAGGGTATAGGCTGGATGAGGAGGAGTGGTTCATGGTTGAAGGTCAGTTGTGGTTTCCGGTGGTTGGTGAGGAGGGAGAGAGAGATGGTGATGATGATAGCGATGGTGATGAGTTTGATGATGAGGATGATGACGAGGAGAAGGTTGAGCATGAGGATGAGGATGAGGATGGGGATGAGGATGAGGATGATGAGGATGACAATGAGGACGAGGATGAGTAAGGAACGAACTATCTTCGGATGGAATCGATGCAGTGGAGTACAATGCACGTACTAGAAGGTTATTGATGGACCCGACTCCGTCCATTCCCAATGTAGTAGTTTACGCGTTCGTCAAATTTAAGCAGGTACATTGTTTCTGTGTGGTTCAGTGATGCATACGCCTTTCTACGTTATGCCCAAATGTTACGGGTGCAATGAATCGAGGTAACGAGGATTGCACTAAGGTGTCAAACTAGTACAAAATGTGAGCAAAGGCATGAGCGAACATTTATACGCGAAACATGCAAACGGTAACGCGGTGCGTGCGAGCTAGCTAGTGCTACGCTGGCAGCGAGGCTCGGGCTAGTCCCGAAGCGTAGGCCGACACGGCCGGGCCAGCAGTGCGAGGTTTGGTGAAACAGTGCGCGAAGTCGGCGAAGCCCCGTTAGCAGTAACGGGCGAACAACGGCTGCTGCTGTACGCGATGTTGCAGTGCGCGCTAAGGAATGTTGTTTTTTCCTTACACTACCCCCCCCCCCTCAAGAAGCCCCCTCCGATACGCGAGAGCGTGTATATCGCGGAAACCCCGGCTCCTCAAGGTACACTTGCAGGGCAGGGTGGTTTTCGATGTTGGCCAGGGGCACCCAGCTATCCTCAGTTGGCATGCGGTCCTTCCAGCGAACGAGGAATTCAATCTGTCAAATGTTTATATATTCTATATATTGTTAGATAGGCTACTGTGAGTTGCCCTCTAAAGGGTACAACACTTTAGGTCGACATTTGTATCTCCTTGTCCCTCCTTACTCAAACATTACTCTCGACACTTGTCTCCTAGCCTATCTTAAGATGGTATTAGAGTAGGTTTTTTACTCCATCCCACGCTTCCGCTCCCTCCCTTAGCCGGTCCCGAGGCGCCCGTCCCTTAGGCCCCGTTTCGTCGCGGGTAGGACGGCCCCCGCGGGCCTCGTTTTCGTCGCGTTTAAGGGCCCCCGCGGGCCTCGTTTTCGTCGCGTTTAAGGGCCCCCGCGGGCCTCGTTTTTCGTCGCGTTTACAGGGCCCCGCTGGCCCCTCGTTTCGTCGCGCTCCAGAAGGGACTCTCCCCCCCCCCCCCCCGCGGGCCCGCGTAGTCGTTCTTAGCCCGCAGCAGCGCGCGCGTTAGCCAGCGGCAGCCGCGCACGCCACTGCAGCACGCGCATTGCAGCAGCAGCGCGTGCTTTGCTGCAGCAGCACGGCTAGGCAGCAGCGCGTGCATTGCAGCAGCAGCACGGCTAGGCAGCAGCGCGTGCATTGCAGCAGCAGCACGGCTAGGCAGCAACGTGTGCATTGCAGCAGCAGCACGGCTAGGCAGCAGCGCGTGCTCCTGCAGCAGCAGCACGGCTAGGCAGAAGCTAGCCGCCAGCAGCAGCTAGCCACCGGAACCTAGCCGCCAGCAGCTGGCGCCAGCTAGCCCCTCCCACCCGCCCACAGCCCCTTTCAACCGCTCACAGCCCCTTCCAACCGCTCACAGCCCCTTCCAACCGCTCACAGCCCGTTCCAACCGCTCACAGCCCCTTCCAACCGCTCACAGCCCCTTCCAACCGCTCAGAGCCCCTTCCAAACGCTCACATCCCCTTATCACGCGCGCACACCACCCAGGACCACCCGACCTCCGTTGGTTCGACACTCGCGTCACTCATACTCACAGTGTTTCGCACCGTCGCGGCTGGAGGCCGCTCCGCTTAGCTGTTTAGGCTAGTCCTGACGTTCGTTGTTAGCTAGGTCTCTCCTCGCTCCGCCAGCCCCTCGAACGACCCTCTGGCTCCTCGATCGGCTCGTCAGCCCTGCCTCCTCCAGCCGTGTGCTCCTAGGTCAGCTAACTCCCAGCTCCGTTTGTTACTAGACTGGCGTTCCTAGCTCAGTTTTCCTCCGTGCTCCAGCAGTACCTCGCCTAGTCCCACCTGGCGCTCCTCGCTCCTAGCTCCGTTTGCTCCGTGCTCCAGCTGTTCCTAGCCTAGCGTCCAATATGGACTCCTCCCGCCGCCTTCGTTTCGATGCAGAGGGGCGCCCGATAGAGTTCGGCACCTGGCTCCGCCAGACTCAGCGCTATCTCACCAGTCAGCGCCAGGACGGCGCCACCCTGTACGCCCACGCGTCCGGCGCCCTCCAGGCACCACCGCGTCCCGAGCCCCTCCCTGCCGTGCCCCCCCCGACTCCGGAGGCACAGGCGGACTACGCTCGTCTCGTCTTGGCGCGGGACGTTTGGGACTCCCGTGACGCTGCGGCTGCACTCGCGCTGACCGAGCTCCTTCCACCGACTGAGGCCGCTCACTTCGACCTGGTAGAGACTGCGAAGGAGGTGTATGATGCTATTTCTGCACGCTATTCCACCCCTTCCTCTGCCTCCCTCAGCCGCATCCTCATGCCGTTCGTGTTTCCCGACCTCGGCTCTTTTGCGACTGTCTCTGACCTAGCCACACACTTGCGCTCCCTTGTCGCTAGCTACCGAGCAGCTTGCACTGAGGCTCAGCTTCTTGTTGCTCCTCCTCCTATTTGGCTCACAGTCCACTGGGTAGTCACTCGTCTCCCTGACCGCCTCTCCACTGCCCGTGACGCACTTCTCCAGCATCACCCCAGTGAGCTTACGATTGATCTTCTCGAGACCACTCTCGGGAAGATCGAGAGTAACCTCCTCTCTGTTGCCTCAGCCACTGACGCAGTTGCCCCTCGTTTGTTTGAGGGGTGTGCTGTCCCCCAGCTTCCTACCTTCACTGCTACACGTGCCTCTGCTGCTGTGTCGGTTTCTGAGGACACTGCAGCTGTTTCTGCCGCTGACAGGCAGAAACGGGGCAAGGGGGGCAAGAAAGGGGGGAAGGGGGGTGGCGGCGGTGGAGGAGGTGGCGGTGGTGGAGGCGGCCCTGGGGGCGGCAGTGGTGGCGGTGTTGCCCCAGGCGGAGGGAGCTCTGGAGGAGGTGCTGACCCACCTGCTGGAGGAGGTTCGACCAGCGGTGGTGCGGGGCCCCAGCAGCAGCAGCCACAGCAGCAGCAGCCACAGCAGAGACAGCAGCTGCACCAGGGACAGCAGCAGTGGCAGGCACCACAGCAGTTTCAGACGTGGGGACCCCCACTGCAGTGGGGTCCGCAGCAGCACTGGGGCCCTCCGCCACAGTGGGGACCTGGAGGACCCGGGAGCACTGGCCGCAGCAGCAGCACTACCAGCTGGGCCCCTCGCCCCCCGCGGCGCGACACCGGCCCCTGCGACCACTGGTGCGTCACCGGACCCGGCAGTCCCTGTGTCTGCGGCCGCGACGACCACTCTGCAGCGCGGTGCTTCCGCCGCCTCGACGACCTCTAGCGTGCACGCTGGGGTCCTGAGGCGACCACCCCGCGCTGGGCTCGCCTGCTAGCCCGTAAGATTCCTGTATTTGAACTGTCTATGGACGATGCTCGTCAGTATGCTTTGTATGCTGATGTTGACTATAGTGCTGATGGATTTGTGTGCTCGCGTGTTCGTAGTCTAGGATGCTTGCCTCCTGTTAGTGTAGACCTGTGCCTCTCTAGTCTAGGTGCTTGTGTTTCTGCTCTAGGTGCTTGTGTAGCCTCCGGACCTGACACGCCTCCGGCTGAGGCGTCTCTGTCGTTCACGCTGGACTCTGGCGCGTCGCAGTGTTTCTTCCGCGACCACACGACCCTCACACCACTTCTTGCTCCGGTTCCGGTAGCTTTGGCTGATCCTTCTTCAGGACCAGCCGTTGCGCGCAGCTCCACCACCCTCCCGTGCCCTGTGGTCCCCTCTGGTGTCTTGCGCGGCCTCCACATCCCCTCGTTCACTCGGAACTTGGTGGGTGTTGGATACCTCCAGGACAGGGGGATCACCGTTACCTTTGTGGGGGGGGGGCGGACTGCAGTCTGTACTGACGCTACCACAGGTGCTGTTCTGGCCACGTTCACCAGGGAGCCCCGCTCCGGTCTCTACGTTCTCCACACCGAGCGCTCCCCGGTCGCGTCCTCCCCTCAGGTTGTTGCGTCCCCTCCGGCTCAGGTCCCCAGTCCAGTTGCTGTGTCTAGCCAGGTAGTCGTGTCCAGTCCGGTCGCTGTGTCCAGTCCAGTCGCTGCGTCTTGCTCCTGTCGCTCTCTCACCCACCGCACCGTCCTGTGGCACCACCGTCTTGGCCACCCGTCGATCCCTCGCCTTCGTGGCATGCTCAGTCAGGGACTAGTCACAGGTCTCCCACGCACCTTCCCGTCGCTCCCTCTCTCGCTTGCCCCTCCTTGCTCTCCGTGCGTCGCCGGTCGCTTATGCGCCACTCCCCACTCCTCCTCCCTTCGTCCGGCCACCGCTCCCTTCGAGACTCTCCACTTGGACGTCTGGGGCCCTGCCCCGACGCAGGGGTCTGGGAGGGAGCGTTACTTTCTGGTGGTCGTCGACGACTTCTCCAGGTACACCACAGTGTTCCCTCTTGCGAAGAAGTCCGAGGTGACTGCTACGCTGATCAGGTGGCTTCTAGCCACTGAGGGCACTCGTGGTCGTCGAGTCAGTTGTCTTCACTCCGACCGTGGGGGCGAGTTTCGCTCCGGCATTCTCGGCGGATTCTGCGGCGAACAGGGCATCACCCAGTCCTGGACGCTGCCAGAGTCCCCACAGCAGAATGGGGTTGCTGAGCGCCGCATAGGCTTGGTCATGGACATCGCCCGCACGTCCATGATTCATGCCCGTGCGCCCCATTTTCTGTGGCCCCACGCGGTTCGCTACGCCGCACACCAGCTGAACCTCCAGCCGCGTGTCTCGCGGCCCGAGGCTTCACCGACCAGTCTTTGGACTGGATCCCCTGGTGTTGGGTCGGCCTTTCGAGTCTGGGGCTGCCTTGCACTTGTTCGCGACACCTCCGCGGACAAGCTCTCGGCACGCGCCGTCCCATGTGTCTTCCTTGGTTTCCCAGTGGACTCTGCTGACTGGTCCTTTTACCACCCTCCCCTCCACCAGTTCCTAGACTCCCGTGACGTCCGGTTTGACGAGTCCGTGTCCTACTACACCCGGTACCCCTGTCGAGGTCTCCCGGTACCCCCTCCCCCTCTCTTCCTCGCACCCTCTCCTCCTCCTGCTCCCGCTCCTCCGGTACCCCCGCCCCCCCCAGGTCCTGCCCCGTCTGGTGTGTCCCACGCTACCCCTCTACCCTCGGTCGCGCGTCAGGTAGCGTCTCCCTCCCCGCAGTCCTCCTCACAGTCCCCTCAGCAGCCTTCGGCACTTCCGCGACAGGTTACTTTGGACTCGGTTGGTGTTGGAGCTGGAGGTGCAGCCGCTGGCGGTGCTCGGTCTGGGGGTGCTCGGTCGCGGGGTACTGGAGCTGGAGGTGCTGGCGCACGTGACGCTAGCTCTGGGGGTGCTGGAGCTGGAGGTGCTGGCGCAGGTGGCGCTAGCTCTGGGGGTGCTGGAGCAGGAGGTGCCGGCACTGGAGGTGCTGGTTCTGGGGGTGCTGGAGTTGGGGGTGCTGGCACTGGCGGTGCTAGTTCTGGGGGTGCTGGAGTTGGAGGTCCTGGCACTGGCGGTGCTGGTTCTGGGGGTGCTGAGTCTGAGGGGACTGACGCTGGAGACCCTGGTTCTGCGGAGTCCACTCCGCCTCCCCACCGCCACGACACGCGTCTCCAGGCTGCCCGTCGGCGTGAGCGTGAGGAGCAGGAGCGGTTGGAGAGGGAGCGGCAGGAGCTGCGGGTGCTGGACCTTCTGGAGCAGCAGCGGCAGCAGCAGCAGCAGCAGCAGCCGCAGCCGCCGCCGCAGCCGCAGCAGCAGCAGCCGCAGCCGCAGCAGCAGCGGCCGCAGCCACCACCGCAGCTTCCTCTGGAGCGGCGGTTGTTCCCACCTGTGAGTGGCCTGCGGGCCCTTGGCCTTTCCTCCTCTCCTCCTGTCCGCTCCCAGTCTCCTCCTGTGTTTGTTCCTCCGTTGCCTCCTCCT